GAGGTTAAGCGCTGTGGCCAGGGGTGGGGGCAGCTCTGAGCCCAGAGGGGGCCCATTCAAGGGGACCCCCAAGGCCAAGGGCAAGTGTTGAGGCTTTCCCAGAGAGGGAGCAACAAAAACTTGCTGCCTGCTGATTTATGGGAGGTGACAGCTGCCGTTTCGACCGGCTTTTTACAGCGAGCTCAGGCTGGAGAGTGAGGCACATTAAGTCTGCAGATCCCAGAGGGAATGGAGCATTAAACAGGACCATGCACACACACGCACCTACCGACACGCACCCCGAAATCCCATTAAGAGCTTGATATTGCGTAAGTCACTGCAGTGCTCCGCTGCAGAGACCCGGCTCAGCTCAGCGCACCCATGGGAGGCTGCCGAGGAGCAGGGCTGGGGGCAGCGGGGCCCTGGCCCCATGCCCACCCGCCTCTACTCCCCTTGGGCTGCAGGAGGGGGGGTCCCCCTGCCGTTCGCAGCCGTCAGACCTGCCCTGTGCAGCCTGGCTCCCAAAGACCATCACGGCGAAACCCAACCGGCTCGCCCGGCCCACTGTGGTATCACTTACGGCTCGCATCAGCCGCGGGTTTAAACCAGCAACAGCCCTCAGGGGATTTCACGTCTTCCCCCCCACCCCCCCCCCCCTTGCTGCCAGCCTTTTCGGCAGGTCCCTTCTCCCGTTTTCTCCTTCCAACACCACCCTGTCCCGGGCAGAGGCTGTGGCCGGGGCCAGAGGATGCTCTGAGCCCTGGGAACAGCTGCACACCCCAGGGCTCTGTAGGATCCACTTGAGGACATGGGTCTGTGGGTTTTATTTAAACTTTGTGTCCTAAAATCCCAGGGCTGAGGCCTTTCCACTCCTCCCAAAGCCTTTTCCAACCACACTGAAATCTGCAGAGATTTCCCAACAGCTTTGAGGAACCACATCCCGCACCTTCATCCATTAGAGAGGGCAAAAACCAACCCGGGGGTCTAATTGTGGCAAAACCTCCCGGCGAGAGAAACTGAGGGAGGAACAATAATAATAACAACAACAATAATAGCAGCAGCAGCATCTCTGGTGAAGGTGATTTTCTTTTAAGCTTTCAAGGAAACAGCACCTGGCCCCAAAGTAAAAGTCCTCCCTGTTCTTGCCAGCCCCGGGGATGTGGGTTACACCCAGACCTGCAAGAAACCTCTGCCAAAAAAGGGCTTTTTCAGTGCATGCAAACCAGCCCCGCGATTGCAATCCAGCACCAGCGGTATTAAATCGTGCCTCAAACCATCTTCGTGGCAAAGCGGCCGAGTCCCGAGAGCGGGCAG